AAATATATTATTTAGCAAGTTTTGAAGACCAAAATCATTATTTTATTTATAAAGAAAACACTGATTTTTTAAAATACATAATTTCAAAAATGAAATAATTAAACTTAATTTAAGATATAAATATAACTATATTATATTATTTTTCTCTAAAAATATATAAAATATTAAATGTGCTTTAAACAAGCTAACCCGTTAAGAATACAAGTTATCGTATACCACCATTAATTACAGATACCATTACCATTTTGAAAGAATTTTTTTTTCTTTTTAATTATTGTATAGGGAGAAACTAAGGATCTTTCCATAGGATTCTGCTTGTGAATAAATACTTTCAGTCGTTCCCAAGGAACAATAGACATCGATTCGAAATTGAATATAGATGAAGCTCTAAAGTTAGTGTAAATTGGGAGACAAAAAAGTTTGGGATCCTAGAAGAAGCCAGAGAACGTTTAATTTTGTGTGTGTTAGATCGAAATGCCTAATTTGTTTTGAAGAACCTTCATCTTTTTTAGCGGTTGCTTCAAGCTTTCTCCATCTGGAGTCTCCACTTTTTTCGTACTTTCTTTGTTGGGTGTCATCTTTCAAGAAAACAATAGGTTCTCTTTAATTCCCAACATTGCTGCAAGAGAAAGCAAAGGAAATCCAAAGAACCATTCCTTTCTTATAGGCTCTTTGGAACGCCATTCCCTTTTAATCCCCCCACCCCAAAAAAAAAACTTCTGGTTCATTGAAATCATGAAACAGTGATAATTATCATAAAGAGCAAACCCAAGTCCCAGTTTCTATTTTCAAAAAACTGTCTTCTGGTAATGTTGACCTAGTAACCACCAAATATGTTTCTTTCTTTTTTTTTTTGGGTAAAGAGGAGGGCTAAAGCCCAGCACAAAACTAATCAACAACAAATCTGGGGGTAGTAGGGGTGTAAATTGTATTGGAAAATCAGATTCCGGTCCGAAATTTTCCAAAAAAATCCGACTCCAATACCTCCGATGTCCAAAAGTGCCGAAGTTTGTTTTTTCCGATAAAATTCGGATCGGAATCGGAATGTATCTATAAATTCCGAAAATCATCTACAAGTGGTATTTTCGAACCCAAGGCCGCCCACTTGCAACTCTGTTAACAGACTACCATAGCAAGAGGAGTCCTTGTGAAATACATGTAAACTAAACATATTTAATAACTGATTTGGAGAGTTCGAAAAATATTATAAAAATCTTAGGGTGAAACCCTAATTTATATTTGTTTTCCTTCCTTTGTTTTCTCCAGCCGCCCCACCTTTTTTCCTCTTCCTCCATCCAGACGTTTCTTCTCACTTCTCATCTCTCTTTCTCTCACCCTTCCCGACCATTCTCCTTCGTTATTCTTTTCCTCCTCATCCCCCTCCTCCTCTCTCTCTCTCTCTCTCTCTCTCTCTCTCTCCATGACCATATTTCCTCTTCTTCGCGGCAATAATAGAAACTATTTATTGAAAAACTAAACGACAATACTGACGGAATACCATTGCAAGTCTACATCAAAGTTTCTACAAGTCTTCCTATTAAAATTGCTTTTAGTTATGACCTTCGAAATTCTTCCAAGAACTCTGAAAAGTTTAAAATTCCGAAAGTTCTGACTTTGCCGAAAATTCCGCATCGAAATGGTGTTATTATATTCCGAAATTTCGGAATCGGCATCGAAACTGAATATGACTTCCGAAAATTTTCAAATCGGAATTCAGAACTCCTATTTCCGATCCGTTCCAGCCGAAGAACAGCCCTAGGTGTAGACACCCAACATAAGTCATTAAACATTGATTTTCTCACAGCAGAAGGGGGGAAGTCCTAAATATGGATCCCCAAAGATTTAGTGATCCCAATAGACGCAAGGAGGTCAGCAGCAGAATTAGGCCCTGTTTGGGATTGCTTTTTTTCTCCAAAAACATGCTTCACTTTAAAGTTAAGCAGTTTAAGGTGTTTGGTAAAAATAAAATATCCCGATTATTTTAAAAGCAGTGGCCTTTTGACAGCAGATTTTAAAATCAGGCTATGGGTTGCTTTTTAAAGCTGCTTTCAAAAGAAACAGAGATGAACATTTAATGAATTTTTTTAATTCCCAAAATACCATCATTCATTTTTTAAAAATGACACCACCTCCACTTCCACATCCAACTCCACTACTTGCACCACCACATTCACTACCTCCACAACCACCACCACCACTACCACCACCACCACCACCTCCTCCACCACCTCTTCATCACCACCACCACCACCACATGATTAGTACATAACACTTTCGACATCATGTCTATTTTAGTCATTATTCACAGTTACAACAATTTTATATTAAAATTTACCAAAAGGTTTTGACATTGCTTTTTGTATTAACAGCACTTTAAAACTATTGTTTACCAAACATGGACCTGCTTTACTTTACAGCTAATTATTTTCAAAGCACAGTAGAAGCAAATTTTTTTAAAAGTGACAGCAATCCCAAACTGGGCCTTACTTTCCCCGTAAATATGGATCCCCAATTATGTTTCTCACGCAAAGCATCACAAAAAGAAAGAAAAATGAACATCATGATTCTCTCTCACATTTGTTGTTAACTTTTCACCAACAAAATGTTAGCCCAATATCCAAACCTAAATTGGACATACTATAATTAAGGGGTTGTGGGTGAAGGGGCCATTTCTACAAATCACTAGCTCTGTTGGCAAATTCAATGGTAGCCCATCACAATGTTGGCTCTCAACCCAATATTGTTATTTTCGTAAACATTTGTTTTTCTTTTCTTTTCTTTTCTTTCAAAGTTTGTTGTATAGAAGAGGAAAACAAAACTACTTGGCAAAAGACTTGGACGATGCTCATGTTGTGAATAACTTATTCCCCTATAATCTTGTTGTTGATGGACTTTGAACAAATACAATAATGGATGTGTCTAACACTCAAGGTATTAAATATCGATATTATCGGCGATATTATCCCGATAATATCTGATTTTTGGGGGGCCAATATTTTAGCAACTAACCATGGTGTTATCGTCAATGTATCGATATTATCCCGATATTATCCTGATAATATCGGGGAGATAACTTCAACATTTTTATGAATGATTTGGGCAATATATCGAGATATTATCGATAATATCCCGATACGAAACCCAAAAAATACATGAAATTTTTTGAAAAGCCTCCCCTGTTGCGCATAGAGGGATTCGAACCCCTCCCATTTTACTCCTTCAACACCTTAACCACCATATCACTTATGTTTTTGTGAAGTCAAGAAGATGACTCGTAGAGAAAGAGGCAAGGGGACTTTGTCAAGTCAAGAAGATGACTCGTTATCTATAACTTCGGACTCTGTTGGAGTAGGAAGTAGTAACTATGGTTATACTCATAACCAACCATTTCCCTACCCTTCATATCCCATTCCTGTTGGGATGGAATCAAGCGACTCATGGAAAGAATCCGAGACTCAATCTTCAAATGATTTTGCTTATGGACAACGTCAACCAATCTCGGATCCATATGGGTGGCATGTTAACAATTACATGCAAAACTATTTTGGGGATTTATCATTTGATGACTACTCTTCAAAATATACTTACTCTACACATAGAGATGATGAAGATAGTGAAAATTTTGAACCTCATAGGAACTCTATGTGGTACTAAGTCACTCATGTATCTTACCATGCAATGTATAAAGTGTAAAATATTGTAGTAATTCATTATATATAAATGATTATGGTGTGTTTAATCTTCTTTCATTAATTACTACATATTTTCTACACTTACAGTATTTGCCAGCTCGCTATATAATCAACTTAAATCAGTTAAATCCATCATGCAATGCATTTCCTTCCAATTTTTTGTGATAAACCAATAGATAATTGACTAAATAAATATCCTGCAAAGTTTCAATAAAAATTTCCAAGTTTTTCTTACAATTTCCGTGGTTTTTATTCAATTTTTACCGATACTGATAATATCCCGATATTTCCATCGATATTTCCGTGTTTTTGGACTTCCGATATTTCTGATACCATCGATATTTTAGACCTTGCTAACACTCACACACACTCTAAAAATAACCTAGTTTGGGTAGTAGCAGAGGGGCATTTCCAGCTTCTCAAAGTGATTTTCCCGCTAGAGGAGGTGCAGCTACACCTCTTTGCTCCTCTGTAGATCCGCCAGTGCTTCGCATGTATTTATATATACACACTCTTATCTTCTGCTACCACTTCCCAGGTTTAGGGCATGTTCGGTAACGTTTTCGGAGAATGTTTTCTTAGAATATTTTTAGAAAATTAAAACAAGAAAACGAATTTGCATTTTCAGGAATTAAAAATGCGTCTGGTAGATTAATTAGAAAACATCTTTAGAAAATAAAAACAATAAAATTTGTCTGGTAGTACAATTTGAAAATAATAATATGTGTGTTATTTTCAAGTGTATTTTTGCTAATTTCAGTTTTTTTTTTAAAAAAATTGCTATTTTTTAAAGACAAATTTATAAACAATAAAAAATTGTATAATTTAACAAATAAAAAATTCTAATATTTTTTTAAAGACTGAAACTATCTTATCTCATTTCTTTTTTCTCTTTCTCTTTCTTTCTTCCTTTCCTTCCTTCCCAGGCCCGTGCCCCTCTTTTTTCTCTTTTTCTTTCTCTCTTCCTATTTTCTTCTTCTTTTCCTTCCCAAACCGTTTCTTTTTTCTTTCTTCCTTCCTTTTCTCTCCTCTCTCTTCTCTTCTTCTTCCTCTCTTATTTTTCTTTTCTTCTTCCTCTCTCTGATTCTTCCTCTTCTTCTTCTCTCTTCATAAATTTAGCAATGTACTAATATACCAAAATGGTCTATATTGATTTTCATATCTCCTGCATTGTAAGAGCAATAAATTTCTATTTAGGATGTAATCTTCTAGAATTGGTTAGGTAGCCCTTGCTGCTCCTATATATATCGCAGGCTGTTTGGGGCAAGCAGACCCACTAAAGCTACTAAGGCTTTTCCTTTTTCTTCCCTAGTTTGCAATTGTTTTTCCTCTCAATTTTTTCTCTTTCAGCCATGACTAGAAAGAAGGTCAGCCTGACCTACATCACTAATGACTCAGCTAGAAAAGCCACATTCAAGAAAAGGAAGACGGGTTTGATGAAGAAGGGGAATGAACTTAGCACCCTTTGTGATATTCAAGCATGTGTTAACCCAAGGACCACACGTGCTCCACGTTACTCAATATGTGTTGTTCACCTATTAGGCTTGAAAATTCGCCACACGTGTGGGGGCGTGTGAGAATGTGAAGGTAAAGAGTCCCACATTGGAAAGTTGAGAAACCTAGCAATGACTTATAAGGAGTTGGGCTACTCCCCGCATTGCCAATTGGTTTTGGGGTGGAACCTCAACTTCCTTCATGGTATCAGAGCAGGTTAGCTCACGTGTGAAAGCCCAAGGACCACACGTGCTCCACGTTACTCAATATGTGTTGTTCACCTATTAGGCTTGAAAATTCGCCACACGTGTGGGGGCGTGTGAGAATGTGAAGGTAAAGAGTCCCACATTGGAAAGTTGAGAAACCTAGCAATGACTTATAAGGAGTTGGGCTACTCCCCGCATTGCCAATTGGTTTTGGGGTGGAACCTCAACTTCCTTTAGATTGATCTGAACGACCTCGGGTGGCTCATTGACCAGAACTTGAAAGAGCTTGTTGACAAGATCAAGACCCGAAAGGAGGAGCTAGCTTAGAGAAATCCAATCCCAGTCCTACCAACTCCAGCAGTTGTGCCTGCAACTGCAGACCATGCCCTGAACCTGAACATGCAGGCAACAATGGAGAGACAAGCTTTCGGGCTTAGCAACATGGGCAACACCATGCAGAGGCCTTCATGGTTCACAGACATGATGAACCCTAATGAGCAAATGGGGTTTGGTGCTGTGGCTGAGGTTCTGCCCTTTGGGGATCAATACCATCATGGTCTTTGGTCTAACACTTTTTTTCCTTGAGATATTTAGTGTTTGTTTCTTTGGTGTTTTTTAAGTGATTGGTGCATGTGTTGATGGTTTTAGTCTTAAACCACAGGAGGTTGTGTATCTTTCTTTAATCTTATGTACTAAAAAGTTTAATGACCAGTACGTAGTTGTTGGGTTTGTTCCTATTCTTCGAGGCCTTATTATCTGATGTATTTGAGTTTTGTTAGTCTTTTTAATATCCATGGAAATATAATCTATATAATATATATAAACATCCATGGGATGAGAGAAGGGTTGCATGTAAGAAATTTTTTTATTAGTATAAGCATAACCGACGATCATATTGTACAGAAGAGTTTTATCGATAACTAATTTAGTATTTAGGTATGTATGAAGGATATACATGCATGTTAATAACAACGGACAAGATGTCAATTTGCCATTTATAGTATCTTAATAATGAGACAACCATTCAATTTGCACTGAACGATACGTACATATGGCAGTTACACCTACCATGTATTTGCACTGAACGATACGTACATGTGGTAGGTATACTCTCCATATACAACTGTACTTAGCGGAACGAAACGTAGTCTTACAAACCATGGACCCTAAACCCCACTACTACAAAAATTGAAATAGACGACAGGGAAACACCGTCGTCTTTTTCTTTTTCAAACCGTTGTTAAATCGATCGCCATCTTTTTAAATGTCAAACTACCATGTTACTGTCATATGACACAGTAACATGGTAATTCCGACGTACCATGTTACTGTCAATTTTAAAACCACGACGCTTTCTTCAAGTTCCGACGTCTTTTAAGTGACGTGTTTTTGCAATATTGGCGTAGTGCCCTAATGGTACACCTACCTTGTTACTGTCATATTACACAGTAAAATGACAATACTTTTTATCATTCATCTTTTCACCTAGCAATTGTCCACAATGGTGATAGAGATAGTCATAGATAACGATGTTATTTATCAGTGGATGGCTACAAAACTAATTAATGACCAGACACTACTACAAAAACCACTTTGCGCGACGAATGATTTTTGGTCGCGCAAATTCTGTCGCGCAAAACTCGTGGAGAAAGGGTTTGCACGACGGCCAAAATTATTCGTCGCACAAAGCCACTTTGCGCGACGAAGGATAACAACTTGCGCGACGAATCATGACGATTTTGCGCGACGAAAACAACTTCTTTGCGCGACGAATATTAATTACTTCGCGCGACGAATCCTGAAAACTTTGCGCGACGGACAACAACAACTTTGCGCGACGAATATTAATTACTTTACGCGACGAATATTATATACTTTGCGCGACGAAAGTTAATGTCGCGCAA